TAGATCATGCGATGCAAGTATCCTGAAGCATCAATAATAACGTTCTCTAAAAAGCAACACTTGGTCTACTTCATTTTCTGTATTATATTTTGTCTCTGTTTTGCCAAACATTTCAAACTTGTCTTCCAACCCCTTGAATTGAAAGTATCCCACATACTCAACTTACTTGAAATTTCTCATATATTTGTTTTTGAGTGTCTTTTCTTTCAGCTGTTACTTCAAATTCTTGGTTTTCTTCCCAAAGTTTGTAATTCACGTCGAAATTTGAGTTATTTCCCATTCCGTGACATGAATTTTGACTTTTATTGGGCTCTAACAAGTAGCTCTGATGTTCTCAGTATGATAATTTTTGAGCAATTGTGTTCCAAGGATCCATCTTGGAACCATTATTGGTTTCCATTCTTCGTCTCATTGATTCTCTCGAAAGTTGTTCTATCGTTCTTTATGCTGATGATTCACCAATTTATCTCAGTTTATCTCGGGTATACAAAAACCTGCTTCAACTTCTATCAATGAAGGCATTGATGCTTCTGTTCAATCAGCTCCCTATTACTGTTTACTAGTATGGGGTAAAAAACAGCGTACTCTGAAACGAATATCAATTAAAATAATGAACTTCTAGTCCTGGATGGAACTGAAAGCCATTTCATTCTGATATTTACCAAATTAAGATCCGAACTGTTAGAACAAGCGAACTCCATTTTGAAAATGTTATACGGAAGTATAGAATCTTTCGTGAAAGATTTTTATCATTTGACAATATTTTTGTTCAATTGAGGTCCACGTTTAACAGGCAAATCCCTCCTCAATCCACAATTGAGGAACAGATATATTTTAGTTGTATCTTTAATTATTATTGTTGCTTTCATCTACTCTATTCCTATGTATGATCTTTTTGTATGTTTTGGTAGTATTTTGAATATCACTGTTCTTCATTTAATCTCATTTAATCAAATTTTAGTTTTCCATTTTAGTTTCACAGTAATTTTCCTCTTTTCTCGTTTATATATCGGCCTAATCCAATCCACCCATTTCATTTCTTCCCAAAACGGCAGCACATTCAAACTGACTTGCTGCTGTCTTCATCGAAGGCCCCACACAAAAAGAAACAGAAAAACAAATTCGATTCCTTCGCAAAGGCAATCGCCAATATTTATTCCCGGCAAACGAGGCTTTACCCACTAACACCTCGTTGTGACATGGCATTTTCTATTAGATTACCTAATCGTTCCTTCCCCCAGCAATCATTTTCATCCCCCTGTTCTTATTTGCTGTCAAATTATGTTCACGTCTGTCATTCCGGAGCGGGATCCGAGCACGTGACTGCGTTACCGGCAGGAGCAGCAGGAAATATTGCCTTTTTTCCATTATCTCGGAGTCGGAGTAATATTCGGAGTGCATTTCGTGTTTGGGTTGGATTTAATTATGATGGAATTTATCGTCTTCATTCAGACATGTGATTGCTATATTACATATGCTATATAATATATTGCATATATAAACCTGTTTTTTAAGGTTCTTTCATTACATAAAGAACAATATATGGTTCATCACCTGATGACACCAACTTGTTTCATGGAAAGCGCGTCAAGAAGAGTGCCGCAGTTCTGGTGTGTGGAAGTTGTTGTTGTGGATTCATTTGTCGCCAGAGAGACTAGTGTTTTCTAAAATAACCACCAAGGTTTCACCTGGGAAATACACTCAAATTTATGGATAGTTCTTTTATAAAAAAATTGTCGACTTCATTGAGTGGGCAAGTGTCTTGTTGGGATCTTTCGTAATCGAGTCAATTCTTTATTTACTAATTTGTGTAAAGTACATTCGTGCCATAGTGTTCCATTATTACCTAAAATGATGAGTACGTATCATTTATTTTAGAAATGTGTGTGTGTATCTATTCGCAGTTATAAGTTCACAACAAATGAGGAACTTCATTTTCACAATACGAAATACTGTACCAATTTCTTTTTCTCATTATGAACATCTTGTTTCACCGGTCGGTCGGTAGCCAGGCGATTCGACGTGGGTGCTTTGTTCACTCACTCGAATTGACTGCCGTGTTGGTCGGTGGTTCAAGCCCTAGTCTAAACGATATATTTTCACTTGCTATCGTCCAACCTGTGTTAGGAATCACACGTTAAAAGGTAAGACCTTGTTAATCCTTAGCTCGCACAAGTTTCGACTTCTGAGGGTTGTCGTTCGTAGGGGTGCGACAAGTGGTTGACGGAAAAACAGATATTAAACAGATTTAAACAGATATAAAAAGACTCACCAACTGGGACAAAAGTATTTTTTCGGGTGAATCTGCTAATAGCATTGTTTGACATTTTTCTGAAGGCTTATTTAACGAATAGTAACAATTACTGTCATATTTGACTATTCCAATATGTGCTTCACTTCTTTGGAAAAATAAATGTAGAATTATGTTTATTTGTTATTTTACTTATCTCGGCCAATGCAATATATTCCCATCAGTTTTCAAATTTCATTCTAAGCATTTCACATTTATTCAGACTCACCAATATTGCCCTGAATACATGAATAGGTAACATTAAAAATAGTTTTCGTAATTTGAGTCATACACTAATGATTATAACTATTTTACTTTCATATTTGATAAAGACTTACTGTATTATCTTTAAAAGGTTATTTATGATACACGATTGTAATTCAAACTATTGTTTTCAGTTTTTACTAGCGATCCTGGTTTCGTATGGGTCCAATTTAGATTTGTAATTTTATCGTGAATTAATAACTTCCGAACAACAGAATCGAATCAACCTTGGTTATGCTGTGAAATGATCAACATCACGATCAGAAATGTCATCATTTTTCGATTATACTTGTGTTTTGACTCGTGGTTTGATTGTGGTTATTTCAACTTGACTATAATAGTTAGATATATAGGCTTTTTAGATTTTTTGTGGGTAGTGAATTTTATAGACAAATTTTCAATACGTTGGGTTACATTATTAGAACTTTCTTAGGGCCTTTACCTTTTTGGAAAATGAAATATTGCCTAGGTGGAAATTCAATAAGTTATATTCTTATGGATTAAATAATTTTCAAACGCGGCTACCTAGTTTTTGAGTTCATCGATGACAACTAAAAACTCAAATATTTTCCATTGTTAATAGAAGCATACGCTCTGTTACTTATATGGGTTTTGTTACAACCTTTTATGTCTCATTGGGAGCAGAATGGTTATTCATAATGGTGCTAGTGTCAATCTAATCGCTGTGTATCAAGGGCAATTTGCACCATTCTGTATCATGTTTCTATTAGAAAAACCTTTCAGACACATAACAACAATATTCATTTGCTGGTTTCCTTTTGTCATAGAGACAACCAGAAGAAACTACTTTGAGAATTTTTCACCTAATCTCAGTTCCACACCTAAAACCAATCATCGACATTCAATTATTTGATCATTTCACGTCGCAGGAAAAACCGCCCTTGGTTGCTTGATCCACCCTCTGGTTCGTATAAGCGTTCGGATCCTGATTTCGCGATATTACACCTTCGGATTATCAGTCCCGTGCCAACGAACGCAATTTATTATTGTTCAGCTCGAAACTCAATTTGTTAGTCGCAAAAATAATGGAACTGTTGATACCGTTCCATTGCTGCTGATAAAAATAATTGAACTTTGATAGGTTCGATACAAGGGCAGGATACATGATCTGTTTAGGTTTGATATCAGAAATCCGGCTTAGTTTTCGATTGTACCAAAACTTTCGAACAGAACAACAGGACATGTAACTTAACTATTCGTCCTAAGCATTCATTCTCAATAGAGCGGGGTGTATTTAAAATAAATAAAGCAGATATAAATGTGAACGATCATGAGTGATCATTGAAAAAACTAAATACCTAATTAAGATTCTATTCGAAGTTTTCGCTGCAGTTTTCGGTTAACTTTTTTTATATCGTTTCGTTATTGTTTTGATTCGGTTTCAACATGTTTTGAAATGAGGAATGTCAAGACTGCTATATTAAGTACCTAAATGAAGTCATTGGTATAAAATTGAAATATTGATAAAATCGCTTTTTGAAATAGTTTTCCCAGAAATCAACAGCGATCTGACGTCACAAATACTATTCTAAGAGCTACGTTCGATTCATTCACAGGTAAACAATCCATCCAGTCGATACACAATCTGACAAATTCAATAGCAAATATCCAATAAGTAAATAGTATAAAAAACAATCCTTGGTAACGTCATGATTCATAAATAATGTAAGAACATTTCAGTGCCTGCTGATAATAACTCAAACCACAATCCATCACTTCCATCGGCATTGTAAAAACCTGACAACGTCACGTTGTTAGGCCAACTCTCACATAATGGAGCAATTCGAAGAAAGAACAGTGAACAGTCATATAATTATTATCTAAGAATGACTAAATCAATATAAACTTCCAATTACCATAAATAATCCAACCCAAATTCTCTTTCATTTGGAGGATGGAAAATCACTAACATTTTTTTTTAATTTCGGGTATTTGTAAGACTGGCAAATCAGAGATACTACGATCATAATACTTATAAAGTCATGAAATGGCTGGATAATGGTACTGAAAAAACTGCAGCATTAATATTGTTATTTTATGACGATATGTTCTCGGAAATAATGCTATAGGTTCATCAATTATTTTTAGAAATTTGGGAGTATTATATGTTAATTCAAATAGTCTTTCCAGCATATAGTCATCCCGGAATGGTAATGAATTGAATTCAGGTCCAACTTAAACGATTCCTAAAGTATACTAAGAAAAGCAGTGCATACAACAAACCATCAACGGCTGAAGAGAACTAGTTGATCCAACAAAAACTTCTGGATCATTGAAGTAGTAGCCTAGTTGTTCAATCAAATATCTTTTTACTTGATTCAGAAAACGATCTACTTGAATCAACAAACGTTCAGTTACCAGAACAAAAAATATTGTTGGATCGACCAACTCTCTTCTATCCCGGAAAACGTGACGAGTTGTGAATTTACCTCATGTAGTCTTGCTTGCAGAGTATCATTCCCCCTTTCGTGAAACACGACGTGCCGAGATCGGCCAACATGGCCGAACAACACGAACACTTTAGGCAACCGTTGTGCCAATAGCGGTCCAGTGCGTGAAGGAGAAACCGTTCGACAATTTTACCGCCGCACCCCGCGCATACTTTCACTGTGTTGTTGTTGTTGTTGTTATTGTTGTTGTTGTTTGTTATCGATTGGCCGTGGTGCGAGTGGTGGGGGCTGTCCGATGGTGGGCCGGCACTGCTGAACGCCGGATGCTGGTGGTGGTTGTGGGGGTGCTGGTCATGGGGACCGCTAGGGTGGCCTGTGGAAGAGAGGGGGAAATAAAGCAGTTTTCGGAAAATACACTTCAATCAAACATGAAAGGCAAGTTTTATGCGATGAAGAATCGATTCGTACAGAGGCTTCATTTCTAACAAAATTTAGTTCACATTAGAAAAAATGGCAAATCAGGAATAAAACATAATAATTGAAATTGAAAGGAAAGAAATTTGATAAGATTCTCAAAAGTGTATTGAACATTTTGGAACAAAACCTTTTTCCTTTTCTATCCATTACTGAATTAATTTTAATTATTGAGAGCTTCGACGAGGTTACACTAACACTTCTTTCACACCTATCATTAAAAAAATGTATTTCTTTGTAATAAAGTGAATTATATCAATCATTCGATATTGAGTTTCATGCTTTTCTCTTTCCAATATAAAAACTTATGGTAATAATTGAACCCTTGTTGTTTTTCTTATATGAGAAATTACTTATGTGATCTTTTATTCTTCTGGGAAAAATTGTCCTTGTCGGCCCATCATAAAATTATTTCCCTAACTTTGATATCGAGCAAAAACTCAGAGCAGCTGCTCAAATGATCAGATGAAATCAAATAATTCTTCTCTGTTGACTTCGTTTTCTGATGATATGGCATTGGTAAGTTTGATTAAAGTTAATACGAGACCCCAGATAAAATACGTACCAAAATCTCTATTTTGAATTTTTTTTTCAGAGATGTTATTAATCAATAATATGAAGAGATTAGTGAAAATTACTATAACTTTCCACGACTGAAGAACCTATTGCAAAGTTAAACAGTAATTGCGGTTTTGTGGATTATTACGCGAAAATCTCATGAAATACAGTTGTTAAACAATTCTATTTTCTTACAAAGGCAACAAACTAAGTCCTCGGTGATATTTTGTTTAACTGTTTTCCAATGCATACTTAATGGTCGTATATTAACTTGAAACACATGCGAAAATTTGTAATTTTGGTAGTTTTGCATAGTGCAGGTGTAGATTTGACACAACACTTATAAAAATATATTTCATAGGTCATTTCGAAATTTTTTGGGGAAAAATTTAATAAGTATCAAAATAACATTTTGCATAAGCATTTCTCTAAATAGGTACTTTTTGTGATATGAGTTCTTAGTTTGTTTAAGAGGGAAAACAATTCATCAATAAGGAGAGCTTCACTGCATAATGTGTCTCTTGAGATTTTTTTTATATATTTTTTTTTCAATTCGATTCCAGTTCAATACCAATGAACGATTGATTTTGATAATTATGTGGCAATCACGACGGCAAAATAGAAGTATCATCAAGGAAAATTTTCATTTTGAAGACTTGTTTTCAGATATTTCAAATTGTTACCATCTTGTAAGAAAGTAAACATTTTAAATTTTTGTAGTTCACAAAGTATTTGTGAATATATTTTGCATATTATGTGCTTCAATGGAAACATATTGAAAATAACAGGTTTGTTCAAAAAAAAGTAATGAAATTGCTCCTTCTTAGTCTTCTTTTGTTTCCGTAGGGTCAACGGTAAGGGCAAATGTGGCCGTCTAAGAACAATCATAATTATTCGCAGTTCTATCAACCATGTAACGTAACTGATCCAATTCACCTTCAACTAAATACGGATTCGAACTCACGATCTTCTTATTCACTCTCTTCACAAGTAACCCCCTTGGCTTCTAACAGACCTCTTCCACCGTTCTTGACAATATTTACATACAAAGGAAGGAACATTTTTCCTTGTGCTAACACCAGCGATGATGGTCATGGTAATCCAAATATGGATTAGATTTTCACTTTGATTATACATTACACAGTCCTCAAAAATATGTACGCTCTACAAAACTGGATTGTAGAGCGTACAAGAAATACACCACAGATTGAGCTATGAAGAATCTCGTTTTGTTATGATCCAGTTGAATTTCGTTAATTTTCTCACCTTGAGGGAAAGCATTTCATATACTTTACAAAAATGGCATGAAGTCACCTGGAAGATCTTAACCGTACACCATAGTGTCGCATTCTTTGATACATTCACTCACTGCACCAATAGACATGAAGACATTACTTATGTGGAGCTTAGCAGAAGCTGACAGTCACAGTATTCTGGGAATGACCTCCACAGTAGAGAGGACTGGATGATCCGGGAAGAGGAAATAAAAATCAGATACCTGTTGGTTCACAAATGTATTGAAAACACCTCCAAGTTGAAAAGGCGTGCAAAACAAATAATTCCAATGGCTACCAAACTAAATTTGTTAACAGCAATAAATGTAAAGTTTTCGCCAAGTATGGAGCTGAAGAGTTATTTTTCATACATATTGAGCTTTCATTTGTTGAAATCTCGGTAAAAATAAACTATGCTCAGGTGTTTACCTTCGCAGACCAAGGAGGGATACTTCAACAACGTCCAAGATGGTAATGAATGGCCAAAAAAATCCTCAATCGAAGGATTTAACAAATCTTCTCCAGTGTTAATTTCAGGCCACACTGACTTGGAAGGTAGGAAACTGCTGACTGTTTTGCAAGGGAATGCGCTGCAATCGCGTTCATCGAATCAAAACTTGTCACAAGCATCGCTTTAGGTTTTCCAAAAAGTACTGTTTTGCTGCAAGATGAGTTTCAGACTTCTGGCAGAATATACTAGGATTGGTCCATTCCAAGACATTCAGCCTTCGTAAAATCCCATCAAACAATTATTAGAATGGAGTAAAAATGACCTTATCCTACGATGACTGACAGACCCACTTACAGATCAGTATGGTCTGAATCGACATATGAGAGGAAAAGACAGAGCGTTCCTTCTCTCTTTTGAAGATGATTGAAACAGCGGGGTGAATCAACTTTTCAATGTTTGGCAGGGTTGAGCTCTTGCAACACATTTGGTGGAGCTAGAATTGGTGTGAGCTACAAAGTTCCTTTGGTAATGGAGAGTCGAAAAGATAATAATAATAATAATAATAACATCCACTCACATTGAATATAAACAACTTAACTACTGCTATCGTCACTCCTTGAACAAATTTCATCCATTCATATGACTATCCCACAGAAATATTCAGGTCGAACAAAATTACTGTGCTTCAAAAACTGTAAAAAAGTGACTGTCTGCGACACTTTATTATCCGGCAAAGAATTAACTAGATATCTTAGAAATAACAAACGTGCACTTGTGAAACACGTGAATTCTCACCTAGGGTTCCTATCGGATGACCATTCGTCGGATGCATCCTCGCGTGAGGCGGAGGTGCACCCGGATGACCGTGATAATTGTTGTTGTCCGGCGAGGGGGGATGCGGAGATGTGAGCTCCGGTCCTCCGTAAGGGTGGTAGTGATTCATTGAGGCGAGGGCGCTGGCTGCCAGTTTGAAGGCTTATGCGCTGTCTGGAGCGCTCTCGGTACTACCGGAAAAACTTTGAAAGGGTCCTCTTGTTTGACTAGAAACTCGCGAAGGCCTGAAGAGAACTGCCGGTTAAATTATCTGAAATAGAAAAAGGAAAACAATGAATTCGAGTGAATATTTGCAGATGTAGGCATGTTGTATCACGAATAGAAGTATTGTTATTGATACATTAAAAAGTTTTCTATTTGATATACCTATATTTATGAGTCTATAATCCGAATATCAACATCTTTTCGGATATTGAAGGTCAAAAGACTCTCCCTCTATCAAAAATCTTCAAAATCCCATCAAGTATTATTATGGAAGTTATGATTTTCAGCTGAAGGTTGATTTTCATAACTTGCACGACGAAGAACATACCTTCACGAAGAAAAAACCACGTTCATTAAGGAAACCAACAATTGGTTGCTACTAGGGACCAAGTGACTACTTACTCTGCTCGAAAAAAAGAAATTGAATATCTATCAGCTGCTTGCCATCTGTATGATTGCCATATAGATACGTTTACCATAGATACAAGATACCGCTACAAGATACTCGCGGTACAGATTCCGAACAGAAACCCGTGGGTAGGAGAACAAGAAACATGGTTCTGCAAATGAATGCTGGACAAACTGCACCGATAGAGGGAGACTCTTCATAATACATCATATAATTTGGCACATTCCATGCTGAATGAAGAATCAATGAAAGAATGGGTACTGGGTCTAAACATCATAACGAAAGAAATTTTGTTGTATTGGCAGTCAAAACTTTCAGACTCCAACGTACTGCAAATGGATCAATATAATTGTGTATGGTATAGTGTATGCATCAAACACAATTTTCCGACCAATAACAAATACAGTTTTCCACAATTTTACTATTTCTAACGACCGACGGTTCAAAATATAAAGTCCATTCAGTTTGGGTTTGATTTATACATAGTTTTTTTCACAAATTCTCCCCTCAATCACTGTACCATTTAGACTGTGTTTTTTGAAAAATAAAAACATTGCTCCCTTTATATAACTATTGGAACCAAACTGAGTATTAGTTTTGTTAGGGATTTTGACCTTCGATATGTGTTAGATAGTAGATGTCAAAATCATCGCAATTGCACCAGAACCAAAATACCACCTCTACCGCGTTAAGACGAGTATTTTTGTTTTGGTGCAGGATTTTCTGTTATAACTTTGCATTGTTCTCTTGAAGAGGAAAGTGTACAATTTCGTTTTTATAGTGAGTGAAAACTGAAAACTTGATTTCAGAATAAAAGAAAAAACCCCATTTACCGATTTTCAATTTCTGTCGACCAACAACGAACTTAAAAACCAATTACCTCCCCCTATGACTAACATAATTACTGTTCCCTTCTTTCCTGATAGAAAAATCACCCTACTTGATAGAATGATTATTCTACACCCCATGGTCGTACAATAATTTGGTGCGTTCCTCCCCTCCGCTCGCTTTGATTGTGACACGGTAAAGCAATATTGCTTATAATAAAATAACGGACGATTTAGGGCAGCCAGTCACAAGGGACATATGCAAAGGGTGGGAAGAGTGTCGAGATTTGAATAAATGCGATCCCATATTGGATGTTGGAAGGACTATGTTGGGTTTAAGTTAACAACTGTAATTTATTACATAACTAAAACGGGGCATTGATTTTTTTTGGAAATACATACATTATTTTCTAGGTTTTGTGATGTTTCCAAGAAGGATCAGCAAATGACGTCACATTATAATTACATTGTCAAAGTAGACCATACGTTTTCACGTCATTTCCCTAAACACAATTTCCAACAGTCTTTGGAAGGTGGCGGGAGCATTCACTAAACCAAAATATATGCCTAAATTAAAGTGTTGTTTGCTGAGGAAACTGTTTGTAATAAAAAAAAGCATGCATCAAAAGCAGAACATCAGAACCATACAATTCAAACCACGTAAAGAAAGGCGTGGATGTGCAGAAGTAACTATAATCAAAATAATATTGGGTAAGTGCATAAGTTGGTCATAAATTTTGATTATGAAATTGAAATCGATGCAATCTAGTGGCTGGGTTCGGAATTATATATAATACCAGCTCACCCTCATCAGCCAGAGAGCGCCACTATTGAAGGTCGCAAAGTCACATGATGACTTATCGGGAAGGTTAAAGATCGTAAAAGCTGCAATTCTGAAATTTCGAAATGAAAATTGATCATTGGCAATTGATTTTTCTTGGCATTCCCCGGTGGAAAAAGCATTTGCTGGCCCATTACGCACCTACCCTGTTTTGACGGGCAAACGCGTTATTCTGACTTGAAAAGCCTTTTTGATCATAATGCTAATCATTTTCGAAATGAATAAAGCTCTAAAACTGAAAACGGGATGCAGAGATATCCCCATAGCTAAAATAATTATAATTAGCCTAGCTTCGACAGCTGATTTTTCTGTATTGTTGGAGTTGACTTGACTTTTCTACAAATTTGCATTTTGAATTGTATGAAATTTGTTAAAATGAATTGATCACAGTAGACAGTAGCTATACTGCATGGGCTGAAAATTCTCGGGCCCAACACATAGATGGAGCTGTTCTTATTCATTAATCGATTTTTCAGTTGGTACTAACCTTCAAAAGAAAGCTGATTAAATTTCATGATAGTCTACTCATGAGTCTGTGAGTTTTTGTGCTAAGAGTGACAATACTTTTGCTATTTTCAAAACAGTGGATCAAAACAATTTCGTGTTTCGATTTTACACTGCTTCTTGATGGGAAAAAATACCGTTCGAGCGAAGCAATGGCTTGATAAGTGTTATAAGGATAGTGAATAGTGAACAGTGAATATTATATAGCGTTATTGGATCGTTTGAAGGCGGCAAAGTTGGCAAAATTGCATGAAATGGGCTTCGAATTGCTCCCGCATATACCATATTGTCCAGATTTAGCTCCCAGCGACTACTGGCTGCTCGCAGTCCTCAAAACAATGCTCACCGGTAAGAAATTTCGCCCAAATGAAAAAGTTATTGCTGAAACTGAGGCCTATTTTGGGGCAATAGATAAATCGTTCTACAAAAGTTATATTGAAATGTAAGAGCGGCGCTGGAATGATTGTGTGGCTCTTAATAGAGATCACGTTGATGCATAAAGCCAATATACAAAAAAAACGCTTTTCTTCTTAGGCCCGGGAATTTTCAGTCCATGTGTTAAGGGCAAAAGGAAACGAAAAACTATATTTATTACAGACTCCCCTGATACTCATATTCCAAGAGTTTTATTATTATATTCGCGTGATGGACACGCGTCTGCTCACTGCTCACAAATTTCGTAAAGAATTGATTAACCATACGCCTGTTCGAGTAAAATAAGGATTTTTGGAAGTTGAAAAAAAAATTGGAAAAACATCTCATCAAGTATATTTAGCGATAAAGTGGCTCTGTCATAATTAATGTCGTATATATCGATAAAAGATTTCACTCAATAAAGCACGCATGTGAGAGAAATCAGGTAACACAGAGTCGTAAATTATTTGCCACGTCTTTAAGCGAAAATACAATCCACCGAAAGAAATCCAATTTGAATAAATCACTTCATATTTAATAGCCTACACTCACAACGGGATGTAATGAGAAATTATACTCGGAGACTGATTACAACTCATTAAGTATTGGACTTTTAATGGGATCATTACCAACTGACCATAACCAGATGTTGCAATCCGGTATTTACCTTTGCCTCGCGTCATCCACTAATATTTGCAGTACATGAAACAATTATTGGTGTTTCAAATATGCCACACAACGATCAACGCATTCAATAAGTCATTTCCGGATTGAATATTAATGTATTTTCATGGCATATTACAATATAACAGGAAATATAATATATGTTGTTGACGGAATTTGTGTTACTTTGGATGAGATTCTTTTAATAATTTCTCTCGTTTTTCACTAACAGCGTCCGTTCTATAATTATTCTAAAGTTGTACCCAATGCCTGGAGTGAACTCGGAAAACAAACTTTTCAAATTCAATCTCAAAAATAACACTCGAGCATTCACGACAATCACTAAATATATAAAAAGATTTCGGGTCAAAATAACAATTCATTCATTTTTGTAAATTTTTATTACATTTCACATTTTATTACTCATTCAAGAATCAGCAAAGTTTTTTTGGTTCTATCATCGTAAGTAAAGGAACATTTTTACGAAAACGCCATCTATGTAATCGACTTAAGCTTCATTCCATTTGGATTCCAGGACATCGGCTACGGAGGCACATCTTCACCGGCAGCAGGATGTTGCATATCTCAATGAGGATCTATAAGTGATTTCGAACTGGGATGAAAGTAATCAGGTTCAATTCAATGCCACGAAAACCCAGGCATTGGTTTTCTCCAAAATTTTGAATGTCTACGAACCGGATATAATAATGTCAGGTCAGAAAACTCCGTTTTCTGCTTTGATAAGTGTGTTGGGGGTTAACATGGACACCAATATGTCTAGGCATAATCATGTCGCTGGAATTGCAAAGGCTGCTTCTTAAAAGCTTGGAACACTGTTCAGAACCGGAAAACTGTACACACATCAGCAACTTTTGATGCTTTATATAGCTCAGATCAGACCTTCTTTAGAGTATTGTTCTCATGTATATTGCTCTGCCCCCAAACATACCCTGAAGTTGCTGGATTCCCTCCAGAAAAGAGCCATCCGCCTGAATGGAGACGCGAATATCACGTGCAACCTTGATAGCCTGGAAAATCGAAGAAAGGTTGGAGATTTGTCTCTCTTCTATAGATACTTTCACGAGAAATGTTCAAGTGACTTGGCAAAATTGATTCCACCAAGAATGGTACATATCAGAAATACGCGACGGACTGTAGATGCTCATCGTTTTGAGGTTCAACTCAGTACACCTCGAAATTCAGTGTTCAAGATCTTTCTCATCTGGAGAACTGCGTTTATTTGGAATAAACTTTCTGAAAACGTTTTTTCAAATGGGAGCGTCTTAAGGATTTTTCTGTCGTGCTTGTGATTTGTCTTTAAGAAAGAATTAAAAAAAGCAAGGCGGTTCACTGCAAACCCAAGTTTCAACATTGAGATTTGCCTTCCG